ACGATAAATTACCTCTTATTTTTTTTATTTTTTTTTAATTCTTATGTTAATCCCCATACATTACATCATTAGTTCTAGATGAAGATAAATTACCTTTTAAAGAAAAACGTGTTCAAGTTGTTGAGTTACTGCCTTAAATTCTGTTTCCTTCTTTTAGCCAAAAAAAAAAAGGAAGGAAGAAAAAAACTGGGAAAGCTTTTAATTAGATGTATTTAAGTAGGAAAATGAACATTTTCCTTTACCTGCCTTCAGTTAAGTGCCTTAACAGTTAGCATTGTTTGGTCCATGCTTCATAAGAAAGCGTTCCTATGCAGTGGTGGTTTTGGTTAAGTCTGTGAGCCTGGAGGGGGTGCAGGGAATGTGGGATCAGGAATTGGCACATCATGAGTCCGTGTTGGGCATCCTGTTCTCCCACGGCCCTCTCTCTCGAAGTGTTTGTAGTATTGTTTGTAACGTCTGTGTTGTAGTGAAGTCTAAAGTCTGAGCCTCCCTTGGTGGCGCCTACCAGAACCCCTGGGAGAGTCTGATCGTGTTCCGCCTACCTGGTCTGACATCCTCAAAAGAACCAGAGTAAATCTCAGATTCCTCACAGCAAACAACAGATGAGACATTAGCTTTGTAACCTCAGACTTGTGATATGCTGCTTTGAAAGTTACTGGTAGCTTTCAGAATTCAACATGATTTTTGTTTTGGTCTCCTGAATTGCAAACCAATATTATCTTTTTTTTATAAAAGAAAAGCCAAATGAAGATCTCCCTGTAAAAGTATTTAATAAAATGTGTCTTTATTTCAGTATCTTAAATAGTGACGATGAAGAAATATTCAGTAATGAAGAGCAGGAATACACATCCAAAAAGAGGAAAAAGGATCATTTTAGAAATGATACAGATACTCAATGTAAGATCATTTTTATTAACAATTTTATGATATTTTACTTGTTTAATGTATTGATATACTGAATTGTTTTGACAATGCTATCTTAAGAAATAAAGGACGATACATGAGTGACAGCTCTCTCTGTCCCGTGTTGCCCACTGACTTGGTTATCAGACTGCAGCTTCACCATTTAGTTAGTAAGATCTGCAAAAACAATAGCAAAACCCACAAAGCAGCTCGTGCATCTGGAATGACTGAAAAATGGTCGTGAGTTCAGTTACCAGTTCACTCCCAAGCAAAGAGGCTAGACGGCAAGGTGTGTTGACTCTGGACTCTGGCCAGAGCTGGACTGGGAACGCAGGCCGGGCGGGGTAGGGAGGCTCCTGGCGGCCGCTCACCTGCGCGACAGGCCCCACTCCCCCCAGCGGCACAAGCAGGAGTCCTTGGCAGCGGTCGTAGGGTATTCAGGCTCCTGGAAAAGACAGGGTCCTGTGGAGAATAGAGTAATCACGGTCCCTGAAGCTTTGGGACTGAGTTACATGAAAAAGACTATAGTAGAAAAAGAAGAATTGTTAGGGTACACAGAATTAATGACTAATCATATTTTTATAGTTGTTTATGTTTTGATATTACTGCAGTTCATAGAGTTAGTTTTCTTCTAAGTTGAGAAGATGTGGTGCTGTCTTAAGTCATTTTTCATGTAAAGATGTTTCAGCACCTCTTTTTTTTTTTTTTTAAAGATTTTATTTATTGGGGCGCCTGGGTGGCTCAGTCGTTACGCGTCTGCCTTCGGCTCAGGTCATGATCCCAGGGTCCTGGGATCGAGCCCCACGTCAGGCTCCCTGCCTGGCGGGGAGCCTGCTCCTCCCTCTCCCACTCCCCCTGCTTGTGTACCCTCTAAAGATTTTATTTATTTATTTGACAGAGAGAGACACAGCGAGAGAGGGAACACAAGCAGGGGGAGCGGGAGAGGGAGGAGCAGGTTCCCCGCCGGGCAGGGAGCCTGACGTGGGGCTCGATCCCAGGACCCTGGGATCATGACCTGAGCCGAAGGCAGACGCGTAACGACTGAGCCACCCAGGCGCCCACTGTTTCAGCACCTCTTAAACTGATGTCGGGAAACAAAGCAGTTCTGTTGACATTTAACCAAGTGATAGCATCTCTTTATCTGTATAAGTCAGATAATTTTGTTACCATTTACAACTGTTGAAGTTCAGTAAAAATCTTCATTTTAAATGATTTGCCAGATTTTAAAAACAAAGTTAATTTTTATTCTAGGTTTTTATCGTGAGAAATGGATCTATGTCCATAAAGAAAGCACGAGAGAAGTAAGTATTCTGTTACAAATAAGAGTATTCGGTGGTGTTTCTGTCGAATACGTAATGTCATATTAAATACGTTCTGTCTCTTGCAGCATGAACTCTCTGGCTCACGTTCTAGCAGATAAAACGTAGGATCTTTGAAGTGCTGATTCGTGTGTGCATGTGTGTGCACGCGCACGTGCGGTGTATGGTTTGCCCCCACTACAAATCTGAGTCAGCCGGAGGGCTGTTTCAGAGCCAGGATTGGACATTTTCTCCCTCTGTCCCCCCAGAAGCTGCTGGGGTGAGCCTCTGGTGTTGCGGGCATGGGTCCTTGCTCTTGTGTGTTAGGGGCGCTGAGAACAGGGTGGCCCCCATTTAGAACCGCTGTGACACTGTGGTGAAGTCCGACCCTGTCCAGAGCAGTGCGAGCCCTTCCCGCCCCTGCTTCTGCCAGGTTGGCTGCAGCTTTTCTCAGAGCCGTGGACCGTTCGCTCCGACTCCGCTTCCTTCTCTGCTCAGTACCCAGGGACGCTTCCTTCCTTTCGCTCCCTGAGACACTCTTTCTTTGCCTGTCCGCAGCAGTTGGGGAGCATAGTCTAGGAAGTGGTTGTTTACCATGGATCACTACTGCATGTTCCAGGGTGGGCCCGCTCCCCAGAAGCACAGGGGCTAGCTTCTCAGCCAGAAGACTGATTTGGCCTCGTTCATGGTGGTTAGGGCTGCTGTGGGTTTGACGTCGCTCCCGGCTCACACACATGCTGAGTGAGCCCCGTCAGAGGAGCGCTTGACGGAATCTGACGGACTGGGGCTTACGACTGACTGCTCAGTACTTCCTCTGCTCTGTGTTACCACACCCGTGACAGAGCAGAGACCATCCGGGAGAGCCTAAGCAGCAAAGGGAACCTGCTCGTGAGTCTGCAGCGGTGTTGCGTGGGCCCTGCGGAGGGACACAGCCAGGCTCGGGAGGGTCTGGGCTCCCTGCGCTCGGCTGCGTCTCTGGGCTGAGCACCTGATACGGACCAGGTCTCGCCACTGCTTGTCTGCATGGCCCACTGTGGCTGCCCCACAGCCTCTGAGGTTCCACGTGTGGTTCCAGGCCCCCCAAACGCAGGCGGGCTCGTGTGGCCCAAACAAGTGTTTTGCAGTCTATAAATAGATTTAATTCCCCAAAAAAGAAGAGGCCGCTGTGACATGGATGGCTGCCTGGAAAGGGGTCTCCGTCTCTACCAGTATTTAGAGTTCTGTTCATTGAGAAAATAGAAATGTCAGCGGTGATTGACTTCAGATTATAATCTATAAGTAACCTTTGCTTCCTCACAGCTCCCAGGAGAACAGTTTGCATGTAGTAGATACTCATTAATAACGTGTATTGTTTTAAAAATGTGTTTTGTTGGTTTGTGCACATATAAGGACTGTCCTTGCGATCTGGGCACAAAACCAAATCAACCTTCATGGGGCATCTTTGGTCTGAGACTCAGATGTGCACTCCAGCTGTTTTGCTAGCCCCTGTCCCGCCATCCATTCGAGAGGCGAAGGTAATCTGTCACCACATGTTTCTAGGACTATCACCAGCTCGTCTAGCCCCACAACTGTGACTTGAAAATCTCTGCATACTCTCAGGATTTCAAATGCGGAAGCTTGAGTTTGAAATGACTCCTGACACCCAGTGTACAATCCTGTGCAAACCAGTGTCGACTGTAGGGCCCATCATGAGGGACACACAGCTGAAATAGATGGCAGGGTTTTCAGTACTGAAAACACGTCCCATGTGTTCATCTGTCCCCTGGGCTCTGGGTCCTGTGGGTCAGACGACCAGCTCCTGGGTGTCACTGCCAGGCATCCCCTCGGCTCCCCACCTGGAAACCACACGTAGTCGCCCCCCCAGCCCTGGGCCTCGGGCCTTGGTTTGGTGCATAGGGCGCCCGCCAGACCCGCGGGGCACGGGGCTCCCTGCAGAGGAATTGGGTGTTCCTGCGTGTGTCTGTGGCAGACCCATCTTCACAGTAGCCGGGCAGATGGTTTGTGCATCTGTAGGTGCTTAGCCCAGAACACATCCCATTGTGATTTCAGTTCCCAGCTTGTCCGCACAAGAGAAACGAACAAGATGTTTAGTAAGCATTTGTCTTTGTCACCGTGTCCATAGTGCTGGAAGAATGGCAGAGCACAGTGTCTGCATGATATGCGACTTGTATTTATTTAGCATTGCGGTTTTACTCCATGCTAATCTAAACGTGGAATAAATCATAAAAACAAACGCCCTTTGCAAGAATTTAAGAAAATTTGCACAGACTAATTCACGTTAACTGTCATTTTATTTTGACTAATTGACTGATTATGGATTTCAACTGTCTTGTGTCTGTTTTTCCAGAGGCACGGCTATTGTACTTTGGGAGAAGCTTTTAATCGCTTAGACTTCTCAAGTGCAATTCAGGATATTCGAAGGTTCACCTACGTGGTCAAAGTAAGTCTTCTGTTTCAAAAGCCATTTCGAGGACACTTGATGGGCTGGGTTTTGAAGGTGACGAGTGTACATATTCAAGACGCTTCTGGCGCTGGTGCTAAGTTGTGTTTGTGACGGCAGGCAGAGCACGAGGAGTGAGCTCAGGAGGAGATGGAAATAGTGGGGGTTTCTCCCACGCTGGTGCCCCTCGTCCCACGCGCTTTCTCCTGGGGCCGCCCCATGTTGCCAGTTTCACCCAGCCGCATGCGCAGGTGCATTGCCGTGGGAGACCCGGGGGGTGAGCACAGGCTCTTCCCGAGACTCTGACCTGATGGTTTCACCTGCATTTTCCACTCTGTGTCCCCCACAAGCGTGAGCTCTGCTCCAGAGACAAGCAGCGAGCTGGTAGGAGAAAGGGGATTGACACAGAGTGGGTCTCCACAGAAGCCTGGATTGCACCTTGATGGCACTGATGATCTGTTTGTAGAGGACATTTTTATCTTGGCTCAAAAAGAATATATATCCTATGTAATGTGTATTACAGGCAAAGTTTCCTTAACGGCTTCCAGGGAATTAAAAGTGTTAGTGGCAGGACAGAAATACTAGGGTTAAATCACTTTACACCTAATGTAATAGTACCTGTTTGGTTTGGCCCCAGTCAGAGCTTGCCAGGGCGCCGTGTGTGACCAGTGTGTGGGGGCCCGTCTGCTGCCCATGCTTCCTGGGAGTCCCGCTCTCTGGGCTGATGGGGTGTATCCTTTTTTTTTTTTTAAGATTTTCTTTATTTATTTAATTGACAGAGAGAGAGAGAGGCAGCGAGAGGGAACACAAGTGGGAGAGGGAGAAGCAGGCTTCC